ATTTAGCTCTCATATTTGGGATTTCACCGTTTTTCTTTTCCAATCGCTTAGAAACAAATATATCACTAAAATAAATGAAATTTGTAATACCTTAATTTAAAAAAAAATACAAAAAGAAGCAAAAAGGAAAAAAGAAAAGTCAAAGATGTCACACCAAAAAAAAAAAAAAAAAAAAAAATGTCACACAAAAAAAAAAAAAAAAAAAAGGTCCCCCAAAAAAAAAAAAAAAAAAGAAAAAAGGAAAAAAAAAAAGTCAAAGATGTCACACCAAAAAAAAAAAAAAAAAAGAAAAAAGGAAAAAAAAAAAGTCAAAGATGTCACACCAAAAAAAAAAAAAAAAAAAAGAATTGGCAAGCGGTGGACATTCACCAAAGTCATCCAAATCCATTCCCATTTATATATATATTAACCAAACCCATTTTCCATATTAAAACACACACAAATACACAGTGAAGAAAAGAAAACGTGCAGAGAGGAAAGAAAGAGAAGAGAGAACAAAAGAAAGAGGGAAAAAAAAAAGGAAAGGAAGAGAAAAAAAAAGTTCGCCTATGTTGTTAAAAAATAAGTGGTCTACACGATTAGGCTTGAATTCTTCAATTTTGAAAGGTAAGTAAAAAGTTACTTATTGTTAAATTATGTTTGATTTTATAGTTGTTAGATTGTTAGACTAAATTCAATTTTATTTAAGGGATTAAGTATAATAAACTATAAAATTGAGTAAAGTGAAAGAAAGATTAGTTTTAGTAATTATAGAGACTGTGGAAATCGCTTAAACATGAAATGCTTAAGTTTGAGTATCGCTTATTTAATTATTGAAATTACTTAAACTAATTAATTGTTGATTTGAAAAATATATCATATTCCAAACGACGATACGAATATCAGGACAATTTACCAATCGGGTTGATTTTGTGAACATAGTACTACTGTGAGTGGAAAAATATAAATATTTTTAAAGTATTTATAATTAAGTCTATTATCAAAGTATGTGCAATTATATGCAATTATGTGTTCGACTATATGGTTATTAAAGAAATGTCTTTTATTATATTACATGTGGGATTTCAAAGATTATTTGTGGTACATTTATGACTTGGTATGTGAGACATATGTAATATTGAGGTCGGCCAAAAAAGTACCTATGATTATATATTTCTTCTATCCACAGAGGGGTCTTGGCCTTATTCTATCCTACACGGAGGGTCTTGACCTAACATTGGTCTTGATCGTGTACATATAATTTACAGAGGGGCCTTGGTCGTGTTCTACAATTGATTATGAGAGGTCTTTGAGATCGACTTTCGTTCACGGAGGGGGCCAAAGGCCCGTGGCAAAAGTTCTTAACCCGAGAGGTGGATTACGTATTTCAGTCAGATGGTACATTTTTGGTAGATTTTTCAGCACGTTTGATGTGATGAAATTATAGCATGGTTATCAGTTGATGTTCATATTATGATATTAAGATAATATTTTACGTCCTTATGTGAACATTTCACTTTTGGTTACAATTATATGATATTATCTTCTGAATTATTAAATGATGTGAACTCCATTTTTGATAGAAATGTAAAATTGAAAAAGTATAATTATTTTCGAACTTCTCCACTCACTGAGCTATCAACTCATATGTTTTCTCACGATTTTTCCTACAAGTGGAAATTGATCATTTTTAGGTGGAAGAGCCTAATGATTTCGGAATAAGAGCCGCACGACATGTTGAATATTATAACTCATTGATGAAGCACGAGGTAAATATTTTGGGCTCATCGTATTATGTTTACGTAAGCATTTGATTTTGTTGCATTTTTTGAAATAACTCATAGTTAACCTTAGTGATAGATTTGACATTTAGTCAGCATCTATCATCAGCGCATCTCACGTTTCGGATCCACTAGAGTAATTCGGGACGGTCGTGTCAAAATTCAACCCAAGTCAAATAAAAATCAACATTTCCACTACATAAAGACTTGATTATATGGTCCGAATAAGTGCACAAAATGAACTTATCAGTATACATCATAGAGTGCACAGCATTTGCATATGATACTTTATCCATATGCTTAATGTATGATTCGTCTACATTACATTGTTCCTTAATTTGAAATTACTGGCTAAAATTAAAACAACTGATTTTGACTTGTTCATAGAGAATTATGATAAAACATTTCCAATATATGTAGGTTTTTTCAAAATCAGCACATGCTTTGACCTTTTTCTATAAGCAAACAGCATATCTCAAAGGAATGAAGATCAAGGCAACAGAGAGCTTTTATACTCTTGTTGCAAGTTATTGATCAATCCATCTGATCCAACATTCCAGAGCAACTCACGACTTTGTGGAACTATTGAGTAGCAGAATACGAAAGTCGCGTTACATCAAAGCAGCAACTTTAAACATGGATCCTGGTTTTGGGCTAAGGGATATGAAGTTATTAGGCGATTATGCATTTGTTTGGGTCAAGGCCCATTCTCATCATTGTTGTGGGATGCTAGCATCACAGCCCAACAAACTTAGATCTCAGAAAGTGAATTGAGGGAACCTTAAGATTTTCCCTGCTAGTTTTCATAGAAATTACTTGTGCACTCAAGATTTTGCTAAATTCTTGTAAAAGAATTAAGCATTGTTGAGTAAGGTCAAAATTTTCATAATTCCTAGTCCTTGTGTTTGAGTGTACCACTGGTTATATAGTATCTTCTTTTTTTATTCTCTACAGCACAATGCAAACCTGAAAGTCCTTCAAGTCAACCCCACTTATGATGGAATATCAAGTGATGTGTTCTCACAAAAGTAGATTATTTTCCATAGATCATAATTTGCAGAAAAAAAGGCATTTATAGGCTCAATTCTTATTCTTGGTATATTTAAAGTCGACCGCATAAATAATTTTTCACCACTTTATACTTTTTATCACTAGAAACAGTGAAAAAAAATTCAGTCCGATACACCTAATTATGCTGCCCAACACGAAATTGAAAGATAGGACGTCTGAGCAAAGCTTTGCACACATCTCTTTGTTGACACGATCTACCAATAGAGCATGTAGAAATGTTTATCATAAAGATGCCCATTAAAGGGTCACTTTGGTTGGTGAAAACTGAAATCTTTTCTAGTTTTCTTTTGCAATCCCATCTGATAAGATTTGATTGATGGCCAGTCTGTGAAATTGCAGCATTATAAGGTTTATTATGGTGATCAATCCCTTCATGTTTCCATGCTAAAATTTCGAGTCAAACAATGTTATGGTCACCTAGGAGAACTCGAAGCACTTTCCTGAACCAAATGGGACCCAAACCAGTTGCTTTTGGAATATGTGGAGTGTGGCTTTTCCCTCATGCATCCACTCACAAAAAATGAACACAAGTCCTTGATGTTGGATATCTATTCTGCTGTACTATGTCCCTCCGGAGGTGTTCAAAGAATCCTCTCATTTCTTCCACTTTGTTTCGAAGAGTAATTTGGACCACATTACATCATGGAACACAATATTTTTCGTAGTGAAGAAAGGCACGCTTGTTGGTGAAAAGTCAATTAATCTAGTCATGAGACCTTCTAAGTACAAAAAAGGTTAAAAATTTATTCGACTATTCAGTTCGAGGAGGACATAAGAGTGCACAACATACCAACCTAGTCAAATCTTCGCTAATGCAACACACTCGACTCTAGCCTAGTCACTTAGAAACAGCTCAGTATTTAGACAAATAAGATGATCACTTAATGCCTAGTAAAATGTCGTCTTACCACTTTTAAATCACTACTAATCTAGTCATGGCTGCAACTTTTCCTGGCTCGTTGTACTTAAAAAGAGTGATCATATTATTGCAAGAATATTGAGTACTTTAATAAGGAAAAATTTCCCAATCTGACCAGCTTCAAATTATAAAATTGACCTATAAAAAAAATACGTTCTAAATTAAAGACGCACGCTATTATGCATAAAATGTTCTTATAGTGTCTTTCGGACACGCTTGTTGCTAAATTTTAGCATCCATTTGGCAAACTTACAAATCATTCTGATCAAACTTCACGTTTAACTGTACATTCCAATGAATCCCCTAGTATTATAGACTTATTCACCACTCATTTCTATTTATTTATAGATTAAACTATTTATAAATTCTTCCCAAAAGAAGGCTAGTATTATCGTTGCTGAACTTGGTTTTAACGATGTTACTAATATATGTCTTCAGCAGGGCTTTGTGGGTGCAATATAAAAATGATATGGTTTATCAGAACTGAAAAACCAAAAGGTCAAAAGCAGGTTTGATGCAATTAAAAAGAAATACGAATTTCGGATTATATGCCTAAAAGCGCAAATCAGAACGGAGGAGGAGAATAAGAGCATAGATATTCAAGAAATGAGATGGCTTTTCCTTTCCTCTTTTTATTTGTAGAGATACTTTTGGGAGGATTAACATGTTTAGGGAATCATTATCTTCTTCTTATCCTCGCGTATATTTAGAACATAGGACTATGTAAAATTATTAAAGAATTGAAACGCATCAAATATTTTCTAGCCATACATCTTCATATTTCAAGAAACCTTGCCATTTCCTCCCCTTTCAAGTAATAAAAAAAAAAAAAAAAAATTTTGAATGACATACTAAAAGGCATCAATAATCTTTGAGAAAACTTAAGAAAGATTGAAGACAATGACAACAAAGAATAATCTTGAGTTGATATCTGTTGTCTCGAGCTTACTGTCCCAGAATGCATTTTTTACGACATCACCTCTTTTCATGAAGACGTTGAGATGTCAGAAAATGAATTAGCATTTTTTAAGAAGTAATATACTAATGTCTCTAAAATTTATCAAGGGTTGGGTTCCAAAAATCCCTAATCAAAGTAGACAAACTTTTTGCATCCCAAAATCAAAATCTAGCTACACAGAATTAGAATCAAAAGGAATATTTTTTTTCTTTTGTTTATTATTTTTCCCAATTGTAAACTCGAGAAGCCTAAATGAAAATAAAGATTTTATAATTCCACTTTCGGTCTCTCCAACTTTGTTTCTCTCTCTTTCATGCTTGTCAAATAATGCAAATGGCAGATTCTCAATCATTCCCTCCACTCTATAGGAAACAGACATAATTGCTCGCAACAAACAAATTTTTTTACCATTTTAGAAACCTGAGCTCTCCATATATTCACTTGCTGCATACATGTACAAACAAGAGAAAGCCATTCACTCCCTTTATTCTCCACCTCCTTCTTCTGCATCTTTCACAATTTAAATATACAATTATACAGATATATAATATAGACACACGCTGGCATTGATTAAGCAGTAGCATTGGTTGGAACTTCGAAGACCGACGCAGCGGTTTTTCGAGCTTTTGCTTAGAATTCAGTTATATATATATAAATCAATCTCCATCACCTTTTCCTACTAAGATATTCAATCTTTTTTCCTATCTCCCATGATGAGTCATTCTTCCTCTAGTACTAGTGTCAGTGGTTTCTACAACTTCCTCACAAGAGAACTAAATAATCTTGACGGCCTGTTTCTTTCTCACAACTTCATGTCAATCAAGTTTCTTCAACATGTTCTATCATCACTCAGATCATTCCACTCCCAATTAACGGCTTTGGTTCATAAGTTACACTTGCCTGTCGGAGAGAAATGGCTGGATGAGTATATGGACGAAAGCTCAAGGCTTTGGGAAGCTTGTCATGTGCTGAAATCGGGAGTATCCAGTATGGAAACTTACTACTCCACTGGTGCCAATATAGCCTCTTTGCTTGATGATCATCTAGCTATAGACACACAACTTTCCCGCCAGGTTAGTGTTTTGAGAATAATCCCCCTTGTGACAGAAGTAAGAGTAACATTAGTTTTTGCTTTCAAACTGAACATGATTCAATGAGATAATGAATAAGATTCATTTTGTTTCTAATTACTACCAGTGCTAAAGATAAATGCAACAAATATCGGTTATGAAAATCTGACTACTTGTTGGACAGGTTATTCGATCAATCAATGGCTGCCAGAGGGAAATTATAGCCCTGCAAGAGGACAATAAGAGCATGGCAGAAACTAGAATGCAAACTCTATGTCTGGGATTTGATGAGAACAATGTCTTGGCAGAGTCAGAGTTCAATAAGTACAATGGTTTTCGAGGAGTTCTCTACACAATGAGAAAGGCAAGCACATTACTTCTTTCTATCCTACTCAGTGGTCTTGTATACTATTGGCCAGAAGTAAGCTTTTCCCAAGGAAGCTTTGAAGGAAACTCGGGATTCAGTCCAGCCTTTGTCATTTCTGCTTCTACATTGAATCAGAGAGTGATGGACGCGATAAATTGTATGGAAGGGCAGCAGGGAATCCTTCTTTATGAATTACACCAGGCAAAACAGGCCATGGATGATCTGAAAGTGGACATTGAGAGCATCCCTGAGTACGAATCAGAAGTCGATATTCAAGATAAGGTCGAAAACTTGAAGAGTTGCTTTGGAGCTTTGAAATTTGGGGCAGAAAGCATCATTGGGCAACTTGATGACTTCTTTGATGAAATAGTTGAAGGAAGGAAGCAGCTTTTGGACATATGCTCTCACAGGTAAAGAAAGGGCCCCAAAGGATGCTTGAGACAATGGGCAGTCAAGTGTAAGAAATAGTTGATGAGGATAGTTTTAAGCCTCAAGTTGTGGTAATATATGTTGTTTCACTTTCTGCTTTTTCCCCTTATGAATGTAATTTAATTTGTGTTCAACTATCTCATATGAAAGTTTAAGCTGTTACACAATAGACACGTCTTTTTATGTAGACTAAATCCAAATTTTTTTCACCGAAGGCCTGATAATCGGAACTCAAAACATTTGCTTGCGTAGAGATCATGTTGAATCGTTTCATCTAAGAGATTATGAAACTTCGAGGAGAAGCTCTCTAAGAAAACGCTCGAAAGAAATGTTGAAGGAAAGAGAATATGATTCTTTTCTTTCAAGAAAAGTAACTTTACTATCTTAACGGAAAAGAAACAAGTGGAATAATTTAGACAATCATAGCTTCAACAGAAAGCAAAATTTCCTGCAGAGAAGAACAGATTCTTGTAATGATAAATTTACAAAAAAAACAAATGCCTCTTCCTTCTATCAGAAGACTGTAGCCAAAAATTCACATAAGCAATAGCAACGATATAAATAAGAATCAAAATATGTTTGGTTATTTTTCAAAACAATTTCGAAGTTACATATTTTTATTAACAAAACTTTACATATTTTTATTAACAAAACTTACATTTTCAGGAAGTGTGTCATAACGTAGTTATAAGAAAAGTAACTTTTAAGCATATGCTGACTACATAAATTATTGTAGTCTGCCACCAAGTTTTGTTGATCGGTAGCTAGTGAGAAAAATGGATTTTTGAAACCTATGACAACAAATATGTAAAAATTGAATTATGGGATTTGGCATGAGAATCATAAATCATTACGCTCCGTCAAAAATTGAGGTCTTTATGCAAACGAAATAAGAAAAACGAGCCTGAAAATTCAAATACAATATAATATTTCGAAAACTATCATCTTATTGTATATCATGTTGGAGAAAGCAGTAATAATATAGGACAAAGAAAATTCTCATCCATCATAGCTTACTAAGTGGTGCTTAAGCTTAATGTTCCAAAAGTTGGAAGGTGCTTTTCATATCAATAGAAAAAGGATGTGATTAAACCCAAATAAAGTGAAAGGAAGAAAAAAGTGATGTTTCAAAGCTTTCATTGCAGTCTGATAGAACTCACAAGAAAATGACAGTTTCTTGATTGTAAAATGTTTGAAGGACCATTTTATTTGTTTTTTGGTCAGTGACCAAATTGTGAAACGAAGTTTTACATCCCTATGTAAAATCAGGACATAAGTTGGTACCCCAAAAGCTTTTTAATCCTAAGTTTGTTTTGCTAGGCTTTGACAGAAGATGTTATATGAACATTTGTACAAATTGCATTAATAAGACCAACATTCAGAGTGTTTTGAATGTGCATCATTAAACCCTTCGATCAATGATGGCCGGCCCAGAAATGCAAAAAGAAAAACCCTTATTTTACCTCCATGAGATTTGAAATTTTACAACAAATCTTTAAGAATCCAAGATTCTGCCACCCAGTTGTTGAACATATAATATTAATAAATATATTTCGATCCTACCTAATATCCAGTAGGTTTAGCTTTCAGATGAGATGACTCAATATGTAAAATTCTGTAAAATTCTGCATATATATTAGACCTTAGATGAAAAAATAAATTTGTCAGGAGCATAATTTGAACATAATCAACCGCCTATGGATAAGATTACAGGGCATTTTTGAATACTTCCCCAAGAGTTAATAATACCAAGTTCTTTATTATCCAATAATAAAATAACCACTTAATTAACATGGAATTTTACATCTGTCAAGAAGTTTAAAATCGCATGGATATTCATACAGTACTTAAAAAATGTGAGCAAACAGATGTTTAGCAATACTGAAGAAGCTTTTCTTTAAAAAAATGTTTAAGAAACTTAGAAAAGTTGTGGTGAGACATGCATGAATAGCACCTAAGCTGCCCATAAAAAGTGCATGTTGATTTCACTTTATTGATGGGTGGATTTTCGTACTATTATATCTCATGCAGTTTCATGTTAGATTCTTCTTAGTTGTAATAGTAAATGACTAATGATTTCTGTTGTGAAACAATGATGGAAAAGTGGGAGAAGGACAATATGAGAGAGGAAGGGGGGTCGGAGAGAGAGTGATAAAGGGATTCTTTATAATGATTCTAGGGGCTTGCAAAAATTTATTTAAAAAAATTGTGAAGAAGCTTTTGTCTGATTCTAGTTTAGTTGGAATGGGAAGTAATGGCATTGTGTTTTCCCTGTTGCTGATGATGATAGAAACCTTGTCAAAGTGCATATAGGATATGTGCATGAGTATAAATTCTAGTTACCAGATCTGACATCCGCCCTGTTCCCTACGGCCTATTGTCTTTCCTTTTTTTTTTTTTTTTTTTTTTTTTTTTTTTTTTTTTTTTTTTTTTTTCCACCCTC